ACCACTGGGCTCAACAAACTTCGATTAAGGAAACTAAAGTACCAGTGAAAAAAAAGTCAGCCTAACAGTGACTGCTTTAAAGTTCCTTACCTGCCAGTGCGCCCCGTACACTAACTAGCTAATGTGACCCCAGTGCTGATGGAGAGGGCGGGGAGGGGCAAGCAAGGATGCTGTGCAGGGGCCCAATGTCCTTATCAACTTATGGCATTATTTTATTTTCTATGTCTTCAGTGGCTAGAAGGTCCTAATGGTGCACAATGAAAACCTGTGGCTTTGTTTCACTAAAAGACAGGCTTGATCCACCTTCTGGCTTGTATACAATTTTTGTTCATTTTGGCAAGGCACCCCTGAAGATACCTGAAGGCAACCCAGGGTGCCTGGGCACCCTGGTTAAAAAAGGCTGATATAGTAACCCGGATGCAATGACCTCACATCCCTTCTGGTTAACTCGGAAATAAAAAAAGAAAAAAGTGTTTGATCACGTGGATTTTGGTGTGATTAAATGCTTTTAAAGGGCAGAGGAGGGATTTGGGGTCTTATTAATCCCAGTTCTTCCCATAAAGAGTACCAGTCACAGGCCTATTGCTGTCACAAGGGATGTTTACATTTCTTTTGACAGCAATAAAATAAAAAAAAAAAAAAAACATTTTAAAAGCAACAGAGTATGTCCTCATGCACACGGGACGTTTTTACAGCGGCTGTTTTTGGCTTTTGATGTCTTTTTCTACAGCCAATAAACTCCCCAGCATGTTATCCTATGTGTTCATGCACACATAGACTGTAATCAACGGTTTTTGGCAGGGACGTTTTTTGGTTTCCCAGGACAAGTGGGTTTCTAGAGTTTTCTAGCTGTAAAAACGCTCTAACGTGGTAAAACGCGGTAAGTCCACATGCACACAGGGCTTTTTAATAACGCTGGTAATGTTAGCTGTGTAAAGTCACATTAAAAACGTACGTTTTTAGGCGTTTTGCATTAGCGTGTTGCGGGGTTTTCCCGCGTTTGCATTTGTTTACCAAAAAAATAATTTTTTGGTCAAAAAATGTCCAAAAACACCGGTTTGCGTTGTTTTACCGCATTTTACAGTGTTTTGCAGTGTTTTTCAGCGTTAGAGCATTTTGTACAGCTAAAAAACTCCTCTAGAAACCCACAAGCAGGGGTGGACTGACCATTCGGGCACTGCCCGAGGGCCCAGGGTCAGTAGGGGGCCCCATAAGATACTCCTGGTACCTTTCATAGGTTTTTTGGGCGTGGTTTGAGTGTGGGCGAGGACACAGGGGCCCCGTGATCTCCTATTGCCTGGGGGCCCCATGAGTTGTCAGTCTTCCCCTGCCCACAAGTTCTGGGTTTTTTCAACCAAAAAACATCCCTGCCAAAAAATGTTGATTAGTCTGTGTGCATGAACACATAGCATAACATGCTGGGGAGTTTACTGGCTGTAGAAAAAAACATCAAAAGCCAAAAACAGCTGTAAAAACGTCCCGTGTGCATCACAGCAAACCAGCATTTGTGGATGTTTTTTTGACTAAGAAAAAATTATTATTTTTTGGTCAAAAAAACTCTAAAAAACACAAAACGAGACAAAACATGGCAAAACACTGCTAAACGCTAATACAAGAACGCTACAAACGCTGAAAAACTCATTTTTTTTTAACTTGACTTTACACAGCTAACGCTACCAGCGTTATTAAAAAGCCCCGTGTGCATGGAGCCTAAAAAGAAATAATTAACAAAAATCAAAGTGTCCCTGTCACCCCGTGTTTGTACGCAAAGGCGAATGCACACGTCGGTCCTGCTCGCACACAAGCAGCAATCGGCCAACACATAAAAGGTATTGCCGGATATGTCATAACATGGGCAGTAATTCTAGCACCAGCTCTCCTCTGTATATCTAAAGTGGTAGCCTGTGAAGGCTTTTAAAGTGTTGCCTTTGGTTAGTAAGATTTATGTTTTTGTCGCCATTGCACCATTTAAAGCATGACATGTGTACACCGAGTAAATAGATACAAAACATCTTTTATATTTTACAAAAAATTGGGTTATGTATTGTTTTTTGTTTGCATTAAAATTCAAAGAAAATGTATTCTTTCCCAATAAACTGCATTTAAAAAACTACTGCGAAAATACAGTGTATATCATATATGAATGTTTGGAGGTTCTAAGAAATTTTCAAGCAAAAAATATTGATTGTTACATGTATACCAAAAGTGCCAGAAAAGGCTTGGTCTTCAAGTGGTTAGTAGTGATGGTCATCTCCATCGAGTGGCCGACCTGAACACTACTTAGTTCAATGTTATCCCACTAGAGTGCACACGCTAGAAACTTCCAGAAACCTGAGGGGGCCCCAAGATTTTTACTGCCTAGGAGCCTCCACAGAGTTTTATCTGGAATTCTCACTATCCTGTTTTCCATAACAGACATTAATAATTCTAAAGTCCAAAGATAACAAGAAGTGTGCACAGGACAGTTCTAAATTGCTGTCAGGATTAACAGGGTTTTTTGGGGAGGGGGGGGGGGGTTGACACATATCAAACAGAAATAACAGAACATTTAAAAAATATATTTACCAGACCAAAAGGGAGCAAATAAGAGACGTTCACGGGATCACTAGATTGACATTGCTTGTCTTTAGTACAGGCTCTGTCTGCAGGGTCACATTAATGGTTCACTGATTACTATTACTTGTTGTGTGGAGTTGCCCTTTAAATAGATATAACTAGCCCATCCGTCATGTAGTGTGCCCTTTACATCAGAGTATCTGTCTCTGGATCACTGTTCATGGGACTTTTCTTCACATTCCAAAGGTTACAGTCAAAGGTTTCACCTTTAAAATACTGCTTTTATAGAAAGCAATCATGTTTATAAAGTAAAATGGAATTTCATAATATATGATGGGAAAAGATAGAGAACCCTAGAGAAGATACAGAGCCCTAGGTGAATAGGTCTAAAGTTTACAGGAATTGTTTCTCCCCTGGTTACATTTTCTTTAAAAAGAGCTTTATAACTTCAAAAAGGTAGAATTTGTTTTCTTTAAATTAAATGGCAGCCAGCTAACACCTGGAACTGATTATGCTGGGGTATTTAAGGGATGGCCAGACCCACAGACTCTGCCTTGGTGTGTGTTTGTCCTGGGCCCTGTATCTGTCCTGCATCCTGTTTCTGTTCCTTTGCTGACCCTCTGTACTATGCTGCTTGCTACCTGTTCTGATCCCTGGCTTGTGACCCTGACCATCCCTCTGCTTGACCCTCTGTACTACGCTGCTTGCTACCTGCTGAACCTGGCCTGTGACCCCGACCATTCTCCGCTTGCTCCCCCTGTACCTACCTGCCCAATTGATATTGACCCGGCCTGCCTGACGACGCTTGCTTGTATGTACTGTTATCTGTGGGTGGTTGGTTTGGTTTGTTTGCACTGTATTATGTTTAGTATTGCACTGCGTTTGTTTGTATTGTTAGTGTTAATAAATTATATTGTTTATCCCATATCTGAAGTCTGCGTTTCCCTGCGTCAGTCACACATCTCTGGTCATACCTGGGAGCCCTGACATTACACCAAGGCCAATCCTGACCAGAAGTGGCTGCACAGGGAAGCCATCTTGGTTTGTTGATGGGAAGGATGGATCTGGATGAGGTTGAGTATTTATCTCTGCTAGTGTTTGATGACAGGGAGTATGCTTATCAAACTCTGAAGGAGTATCCCGGGATGAACTGCTAGAATGTATACGGCCGCTCATGTTCTAGTAGATCAGGGCACAGAGTTCTCTGAGGTGCAGCCTTTGATTGAGGTTTGTGCAGAGTTGGTTTCATCTGGTTCCCCCGAATGCAGGGATGAATTTTTGCCACCATTTAGTGCAGACCAGGTAGAGTCCCTGGTGTGGTTATTAGAGGATGATGTGGGTTACTTTCTGGAGCGTTATTCCACATGTTCACCACAGACACTAAGAGATTGTATAAACGCAGTGCAGTCATTGACCAGACAGGCTTTGTGTAAGCTCAGCTTTGTTCAACCCCTACTGCAGACATGGACAGACTTGTTGCACCCAGCCTCAGTCAGCTTACAAAGACCCAGTCCTGCTTCTAACTCTTCTCTCCTGTATTCCCAACAGCTCCTCCAGTTACAGCCCAGTATACTTGGCTATCTACCGCATGTCAGTACCCTGTTCCCACTCGCTGCACCTATCCTGCCTTTAACCCTGTAAAAAAAGCCCTCTGTAGCAACTGCTCCCTCTCCTGTTCCATCCTCCAGTTCTTCTCTGTCTCCAGCTGCTCCATTCGTTTGCAGACCTGCGTTTACTTGCAGTGCTCCAGTAGTTAAAACCAGAAAAAAGCGAAAATTCTTTCCAACCAATACCATCCTGCCAGTATCCAAACTGGTGAACCTGCCTTCCGTGGTTCAGCCTGAAGCCTCTACTCGGCCTGAAGCCTCTACTCGGCCTGAAGCCTCTACTCGGCCTGAACTCGGCCTGAAGCCTCTACTCGGCCTGAAGCCTCTACTCGGCCTGAAGCCTCTACTCGGCCTGAAGCCTCTACTCTCGGCCTGAAGCCTCTACTCGGCCGGACGCCGGCATTCAGCCTGATGCCTCTACCCAGCATGATGAACTGATCCAGCCTGATGATCCTATTAGGCCAGTTGACTCGATGCCCGCTGTTGATCCAGATGATCCGGTACCTGATCCGGTGCTCGCTGTCGTGCCAATTGACTCAGAGCCCGCTGTCGTACCTGGTGACTCGGTGCCCACTGCCTTGCCAGATGACGCGGTGCCCGCTGGCGAGCCAAATGACCTGATGCCTGGTGACCCAGTGCCCGCTGTCATACCTGGTGACCCCGCTGTGCCCGCTGTCGAGCCCACGATCCAATGCCTGGTGACCCGGTGCCCACTGCCTTGCCAGATGACGCGGTGCCCGCTGGCAAGCCAAATGACCTGATGCCTGGTGACCCAGTGCCCGCTGTCGAGCCAGACAATCCGGTACCTGATGACCCGGTGCCCACTGTCGTGCCTGTTGATTCGGAGCCCACTGCCTTGCCAGATGACGCGGTGCCCGCTGTTGAGCCAAATGACCTGATGCCTGGTGACCCGATGCCCGCTGTCCAGTCAGACGATTCAATGTCTGACCCAGTGCCCGCGGTCATACCAGTTGACTCGGAGCCCACTGCCTTGCCAGATGATGCGGTGCCCCCGCGGTCGAGCCAAATGACCTGATGCCGGGTGACCCGATGCCCGCTGTCCAGCCAGACGATCCAATGTCTGACCCAGTGCCAGCGGTCATGCCAGTTGACTCGGAGCCCACTGTCGTGCCAGATGACTCGGCGCCCGCCGCTCTGCCTGAGGGCCCGAGACCTGTCGCTCCACCTGGGGGTCCGGCGCGCCCGTCTGCTCCGCCTGGGGGCCGAGACCTGTCGCTCCACTGGGGGCCCGAGACCTGTCGGCCCGAGCCTGACCCCGAGACCTGTCGCTCCACCTGGGGGTCCGGCGCCCGCCGCTCCGCCTGAGGGCCCGAGACCTGTCGCTCCACCTGGGGGTCCGGCGCCCGCCCCGAGACCTGTCGCTCCGCCTGGGGCCCGAGACCCCGTCGCTCCACCTGGGGGCCCGAGACCTGTCGCTCCACCTGGGGGTCCGGCGCCCGCCGCTCCGCCTGAGGGCCCGAGACCTGTCGCTCCACCTGGGGGTCCGGCGCCCGCCGCTCCGCCCTGAGGGCCCGAGACCTGTCGCTCCGCCTGGGGGCCCGAGACCTGTCGCTCCGCCTGGGGGCCCGAGACCTGTCGCTCCGCCTGGGGCCCGAGCTCCACCTGGGGGTCGCTCCGCCTGAGGGCCCGAGACCTGTCGCTCCGCCTGGGGGCCCGAGACCTGTCGCTCCACCTGGGGGTCCGGCGCCCGCCGCTCCCGCCTGAGGGCCCGAGACCTGTCGCTCCACCTGGGGGTCCGCCCGCCGCTCCGCCTGAGGGCCCGAGACCTGTCGCTCCACCTGGGGGTCCGCTCGCCCGGGCCCGAGCTCCTCCGCTGAGGGCCCGAGACCTGTCGCTCCACCTGGGGGTCCGGCGCCCGCCGCTCCGCCTGAGGGCCCGAGACCTGTCGCTCCACCTGGGGGTCCGGCGCCCGCCGCTCCGCCTGAGGGCCCGAGACCTGTCGCTCCACCTGGGGGTCCGGCGCCCGCCGCTCCCGCCTGAGGGCCCGAGACCTGTCGCTCCCCTGGGGGGCCGATGCCCCGCCTGTCGCCCGCCTGGGGGCCCGATGCCCCGCCCCGCCTCCGCCTGGGGCCCGATGCCTGTCGCCCCCTGGGGGGCCCGATGCCTGTCGCCCCGCCTGGGGGCCCGATGCCTGTCGCCCCGCCTGGGGGCCCGATGCCTGTCGCCCCCCTGGGGCCCGATGCCTGTCGCCCCCCGCCTGGGGGCCCGATGCCTGTCGCCCCGCCTGGGGGCCCGATGCCTGCCGCCCCCCCCCCGGGGGGCCGATGCCTGTCGCCCCGCCTGGGGGCCCGATGCCTGCGCTCCGCCTGGGGGCCCGATGCCTGTCGCTCCGCCTGGGGGGCCCGATGCCTGTCGCTCCGCCTGGGGGCCCGATGCCTGCCGCTCCGCCTGGGGGCCCGATGCCCGCCCGCCTGGGGGCCCGGTGCCTGCTGCTCCCGCCCGGGGGCCCGGTGCCTGCCTGCCCCGCCCGGGGGCCCGATGCCTGCTGCTCCGCCCGGGGGGCCCGGTGCCTGCCGCCCCGCCCGGGGGCCCGGTGCCTGCCTCTGCCCCGCCCGGGGGCCCGGTGCCTGCTGCTGCCCCCGGGGGCCCGGTGCCTGCTGCTCCGCCCGGGGGGCCCGGTGCCTGCCCGGAGTCCTGCTGCTCCGCCCGGGGGCCCGGTGCCTGCTGCTGCTCCGCCCGGGGGCCCGGTGCCTGCTGCTCCCCGCCTGGTAATCCCGATGTGCCTCTGCCCGGAGTCCAGCCCGATGTGCCTCTGCCCGGAGTGCCCGATGTGCCTCTGCCCGGAGTCCAGCCCGATGCCTGCCCGGAGTCCAGCCCGATGTGCCTCTGCCCGGAGTCCAGCCCGATGTGCCTCTGCCCGGAGTCCAGCCCGATGTGCCTCTGCCCGGAGTCCAGCCCGATGTGCCTCTGCCCGGAGTCCAGCCCGATGTGCCTCTGCCCGGAGTCCAGCCCGATGTGCCTCTGCCCGGAGTCCAGCCCGATGTGCCTCTGCCCGGAGTCCAGCCCGATGTGCCTCTGCCCGGAGTCCAGCCCCCGATGTGCCTCTGCCCGGAGTCCAGCCCGATGTGCCTCTGCCCGGTGTGCCTCTGCCCGGAGTCCAGCCCGGTGTGCCTCTGCCCGATGTGCTTCTGCCCGGAGTCCAGCCCGATGTGCCTCTGCCCGGTGTCCAGCCCGATGTGCCTCTGCCTGGTGTACCGCTGCCCCCGGAGTCCTGCCAGGTGTGCCAGTCTTTGATATCCCGCCAGTTACCAGACCCGGGCGGTGGAACATTTTTCCCAGCTAGGACTGTTTGGAGCGTCCTGAGGCCGCTCCTTGAGGGGGGGGGTACTGTCAGGAATGGACTGGCCAGCAATGGTGGGACTCACCTGCCTTTTGATCTGCAGTACCAGGGCTGGCCAGCGGGTGCTCCCAGCAATCAGAGACTCAACTTTGCAGCCAGCTAACACCTGGAACTGATTATGCTGGGGTATTTAAGGGATGGCCAGACCCACAGACTCTGCCTTGGTGTGTGTGTTTGTCCTGGGCCCTGTATCTGTCCTGCATCCTGTTTCTGTTCCTTTGCTGACCCTCTGTACTACGCTGCTTGCTACCTGTTCTGATCCCTGGCTTGTGACCCTGACCATCCCTGCTGACCTCTGACCCTCTGTACTACGCTGCTTGCTACCTGCTGAACCTGGCCTGTGACCCCGACCATTCTCCGCTTGCTCCCCCTGTACCTACCTGCCCAATTGATATTGACCCGGCCTGCCTGACGACGCTTGCTTGTATGTACTGTTATCTGTGGGTGGTTGGTTTGGTTTGTTTGCACTGTATTATGTTTAGTATTGCACTGCGTTTGTTTGTATTGTTAGTGTTAATAAATTATATTGTTTATCCCATATCTGAAGTCTGCGTTTCCCTGCGTCAGTCACACATCTCTGGTCACACCCGGGAGCCCTGACATAGAGTCTTATAATGCAGTAGAAATTAATAGTGAACTCTGTATTAATTGTTACAGCATTAAATGCATTTTTTTTAAATGTGAGCAGCGTAACTAAATTTGAATTTGTATCAGCCTCTTGCAATCTCATATACAACAGAACTCAGAAATGGGGAGGGAGATGAAGCTCATTCAGCCAATCAGTCATGCTGCCGTGCACATGTACTCCATGGCTGATCACTGTGCAGCTTCTCCTTTCACTGTCCAGTCACTGAGGGAAGAGCAAGACCTGTAAGTGTTATCTACTGTAGATACAGAAGACAAAAGTCAGTTCTTCTTTGCTGTGTGACAGATCTGCGTAAATATCAGACTTTGTATGAGAAGAACAAAACCTTTGGCAGGTAAAACAGCTCCATCATATGTATTCACCTTGAGTTCATCTTTAAAAGCCCTGCATAGACAAAGCCCAGGATCATTGTAAGCACTTATTTATATTTATACACAGGAAATGTTGGTACCATGTTCACTATCATCCACAATAAAGACACTACAATCTGTAACCCACCCTGTCTGCATTGTCCATTTCCCAATGCAACACATTTCCCTAAACTCTCCCTTCGTTGTTGCGTTTACTGTCTATGAGCTGGCATTACATGTTTTTAAGTGGATGTGAACCTAATTTTGTATCTTTTACTTGCAGGTAAGCCTTTAAGACATACCTGTAGGTACTGTAAATATCTCCTAAATGTGCACCGTTTAGGAGATATTTACCGTAGAATCGCTGGTGATGTCACCGGCGCATGCGCTCTCAATGGATGGTATGCTGTCCACAGAGAGCTGTGCCGCGGCCAAAGCTCCCATGTACAGGCACGGGAGTGATTACATCACGGCTCAGCCAATCAAAAGGCCGCAGCTCGCAAACCCGGAAGGAAGACCAGGTGAAGATGGAGGCCTCGGGTAGTTGTGACAGCGCTCCTCTGGAGGTCATTCATTTATAGGCAAGTCTTTCATAATATGCTAACACATTATGCTCTGAACTTGCAGGTAAAAGATTTTTTTTTTCTTAAATTACAATTCTTAAAAAGGATTTAGAACTTCCATTCTCAACCTGGGTTCCTCCAGAGGTTCCTAGGGTTTCCTTGAACTTAGCAGACGGACCTCCCATCTCATAGTGCATGCCTAGTTCCAGGTCAGTGGCATGGCATCATTGATATTTTTAGATAACTGTAAGGATGTAATTTTTCTTATTGACCAACAATGTTATAAAAATGCAGATTTTCATTTTGTGATTCTAGTCAAATGCACTGGGTATGTCAAATTCTTTATGTTTTTATCTATAATACTCATATTTATAACATGCCATAAGCTCTAGATATAATATTTGATTGGGGTTCCTTGAGAACTGAAAATATTTCAGAGGTTCCTGTGGAGTAAAAAGGCCAAGAAAGACTGACTTAGAATGTATAGTAATAGTTTAGGTCAGTTTTTCTCAACCTTTTTACATGGAAAACCCTTGAAATAACTTTCCAATCTCAGGGAACCCCTGTTAACAATTATATCTACAGCTCACAGTGCATTAGTGTGATGATTAAATGGGAAGAATGCTCCTTAGAATTGTATCACTTTAATCATTGGGAAGAATTCCCCTCTTACAGATAGCTAAAAAGATGATTGTTGTCAGTGGTTACTTATCTGAGAGGCAGACATATCTCATTGCTCAAGGAACCCCTAGCATCTTCTTCAGAAGCCCTAGGGTTCCATGGAACGCTGGCTGAGAGAAGCTGGTTTTGATGAAAACAGATTTAGCAGGATGTGTGCCTACATAGCAAAGCCCAAATTAAAGTTTGCCAGTAAACTAGAGCCAACAGCTGGTTAGACAGCAAGGTGGGAGGCAAGTCAGGTGGAACATTCCTCCATGTTTCCCATTAACTCGTTGGCTGCCAAGTTTGGGTCACACAAGAGCGTTGCCCCTGTTGTGGGATTTTCTGGGCTAGGCTAGGCACCTAACAGGATCACTCTACTTTATACATGGGGTACCTTTGCTCTGTGCCATTTTCATCAATGCCCTGGGACAAGGATGAGGCTGCTGGCAAAAAATACTCAACTTTAAAGCGGGCCTCTACTTTTAGAGATGAACATACACTGTGAACACTTGCACAATAACTGTCTTCCTGTTAACTCTCGGGTCCTCATGCCAGTGCACACCTTCTCTGTTGGCTTGCAATTTGGAGGGACATGCTTAGCCTTGTCCACATCCACTTGTCCAGAGTTTCCCACTACCTCTCCTGGTAGCAGAAAGGGGCCCCGCCGTGCATCCAGCATGGGCTCCGTATGTGCACTTGTCTTAGATCTTGAACTTCATTACCTCTGTACAGGATGGGGACCTCTGCACAGCCGATCTGCTCCATGTGCTATGAGAGACAGACCACTGTTGGAAGGGGTGCTGACAACATCTCCAAACACTGCTGGAGGCTATCCCACCTGCAACAGGTACACACCATGGACAGGCTGCTTGACTGACTGTTAGCTTCTGTTATCCTTGGAACTAAGAGTAAAATATGCTGGTTACTTGCACTGCACTACTTTAAGAATTTTAGACCAGGTAGAAAAGTTTCAATGATTTACTTAGAAAAAATGCAAAATATGGCAGAGTACACATTCACAAGAACAGTTTTCCTACATCCCTCAACCCTGAGGCTTGTGTGCATACCTGCAAAAGGTAAAGTCCATCAGTGGTAAGTCCATTGGTATTAGCATAGTCCAGCAGCTGGTGTCTTCGGGATTAATCCCAGGCTCCAGTGGCTTCCTACATCACGATTCCAAGATGACAGAAAGGTCTAATGCCATTCTGTTTCAGGCCAAGGATTCACAGTAAGAGCACAGTCCCTTTTATAACCACAGGAACAATGGGTCAGACCCAAAAAGCCTGGCAAACAGCAAACTCTGGAACTCAGGTAACCCTAACCTTCCCTTCCAGGGCAGCACCAATCCAGCAGGATTGCAACCTGCAATGGTAAAAAAAAA